ATAATCAGGCAAGGGTGGGTCTCAAAGGAGCCCCTGGTTTCCTGGGGGTGGGGAAGAGCAGGGGAGGGGCGGGGAATGTGGAGCTGAAGAGGTCAAGAAAGAAGTTCCAAATAAAGAAGAGACGCAGCCCTCCTGAGAGGAAGGGTTTTCAGAGGGATTGGCAGGGAGAAGGGGAATGCTTAGGGGATTGGATTTGGGGATTGTTCTGGAAGTGATGCTAAGTGGGATGAAATTTAGAGGGAAAAAAAGAAATCTCGGGGAATCCAAAGAGCTTGGATTGCCAGTCTGCACAGCTGCTGTCTCTCCCCATGTAACCCTTCCAGGAAAACTGTCCAGGCTGGTCCCTGATGTTGTCCATGAACTTGCTGTTCACTGGTAACCTGGCACCTGCAGCCAGAGGCTGGATATGCATTGCCTCCTGTGCAGGTGTCGCCAGGGTATGTACCCCGACCGCTGTGTGCTTCACCCACTGGGCTGCACCAATCTCCTGGGTGGAGAAGGAGGCGTGAAGATGTGTTGGTGCAATAATGAAATGATGCTGCATGTAGTCTCAACTCAGCCGCTTGGAATGGGACTCCACCTCCCACATTTCTGTGGGGTGTATTCATTTCAGCATCTGGTTTTGGCAATATAGGGGGGAATAACACTCAGATTGACATTTTTTTTCTTCTAGGATGATGATGAATACAATTAAAGTCTGAGGCTCTTTAAAATAAATTCTCCTGCTCTGATACTTTTTTTTCCCCTGCATGTAAGAATTCAATATTCTGAGCTACAAATCTGGACTCTGTCTGCTCCTGGATAGGCCACCAGCCACCAGCGCACACCTTTCAGGTAACCTCCCTGGTGGAGAATTTTTAAGTTCGCAAGTTACCTGAAGGGGCCTAGGCTGCTTTTGGTGGATCTACTGGGCTTTCTCAAGTTGAGAAGCTTCCACTCTGTACTCTAATGGTAATCACGTGTCAGTACCACCCTTACCTGGGCCCTCTCGATCTCTTCTTTCTCCATAATCTCTCCCTGGGTTATGTCATCCAGGCCCAAGGACCCCATTCCCCTTCTGATGCTGAGGACCCCCAAGCTGACACTTATATCTCATGATGACCTCTCCGATGGGCTCCAGACCCACACCTAACTTGGCGTCTCCATCTGGCTTTCCCACTTAGATACCTCAAACTTGAAAATCCAAACAGAAGTCTCTTCGGCTTCCAAATTTGTTTCCTACCTGTCTTCCCCAGGTCCCCCATTACTCAGGCCAAAAATCCAGGAGTCATCCTTGGGTCTTCCCTTTCACTCATCCCTTTCATCCATTCTATTTGGAAACCTTTGAAAATTTACCACTAGAATATCTCTGGAATCCATCCTTTTCCCTCCACTTCCATTGATCCCTCCTTAGGTTGCCCAGCTGCCTCTCCCCTGCAGTGATTCCTAGGTGGTCTCTCTAGTTCCTCTCCCCCTCACCCCTGCCCCTGTGCATTCCAGTCCCCTCTCCACCCTGGGAACAAGAGAGATCTTCTTTAAATGTAATGGGATCGCACTGTCTCTGCTTAGAACTCTCCAGTGGCCTGCCATGATTCTTGACCATGGCCAACTAGGCCCTTCATAGACTAGCCCTACCTGCCTCTGTAGACCCATGTGGTGAACTCTCCCCTTTGCCTGCCTCAGACATACGTATCAGTTTCCTGTGGCTGCTGTTACAGATCACCACTCACTTGGTGGCTTAAAAATGACACAGATGAATTCTCTTACAGTCCTGGAGGCCAGAAGCCCAAAATAGGCTGGAACCAAGAGAGCTGCAGGACTGCACTTCCTTCAGAGGCTCCAGGGGGAAATCTGGTTCCTTGCCTTTTCCAGCTTCTAGGGCTGCACTCCTCTGTCCACAAGGTCCCTTCCTCCCCCTTCAAAGCCAGCAATAGAGCATCTTAATTCAGTGGTCACACTGCCACCTTCTTCTACGTCAAATCTCCCTTTGCCTGTCTCTTATTAAGACACTTATGGTTGCATGTGGGTCTATCCAGATAACCTAGGATCATCTCTCCATCTCAAAACCCTTAACTTAATCACATCTTTAAAGTTCCTTTTGCCACATAAAGCAACATTCACAGGTTCCAAGGACTAGGATCTGGATATTTGGGGTCCCTTATTCAGCCTACCACACCTAACAAGCTCTTTCCCACGGCAGGGTCTTTGTACAGCTTGCCCCCTGTGCCTGGAATGTTCCCCCATGACCCCCTTTACTCTTTGCATGGCCAGTTCCTTCTCATTTAGGGGTCTGTCACCTTGCCTGTCACCTCCTCAGAGAATCTGTCTCTGAGCCACCCCCAATCTGAAGAAGGTTTCCCTCTATCTTGAACCTTTGTTTATTTCCTCCCTTGCACTTGCCATGGTGGACCTTATGTTACATATTTTCCAGTTTACTTGTTTTCCACCTGCCTCTGCCTCTCCCCTCCCCATCAGTGCTTTGAGGACAGGGATGATGTCTGTTTTGTTCAGATGGCTTTGCAATCCAAGATGGCGCTAGGCAAATGGGCTGCTCTGTCTACTCTTTTGAGAAAGCAGGCCCCTCTCCATCTCCCTCCTGATCTTCTCTGTTCAAAACCATGGTCTGGAGAGAATCTGACGCCACCAACAAAGAGAACCCACAGACAGGCTCACGTGGGCAGAGGCCCAGGGAGATGCTGCAGCATTTAATGAGCCAGGAACACACGAAACCTTTCAAAAGAAGCAGGTCCCACCTTGGTGCGCATCCACCTGAGTCCTCGCTAATTAAATGCAGCGAAGAATTATTTCACTGAGTCCTACCCAGGAGGCTGCTTGCTGAGGAGAGCTGTTTCCAAATCTTCTCCATCCTTCTCTTGCTAAAGACTCCTGAAGCCTTTTGGAGAAAATCGAGGGAGACCCAGAGGCCTTCCTACATGTCTCACATTCTCTGCAGCCTTTCAGCTGGGGCACCACGAGGCTCTTGCACAGCTTAAAACTTCATGCTGGGTTAGATTTTTCTAAACCAAAGCCAAATGTGTTTTGATTGCAAGGCTATTTTTAAAAATTGCTTGTGCCTTAAGCAATACATTATCTGGTCGAAACATCATGTTTTTCTCCCTTCAAGTAGAAAATTGTTCTTTGATATTTGACATTGTTCAGAAATATTTTAAAATGTTTGGTCACAATGGAGATAGCTTTGGTGACTCAATAGTCTTCTGTACGATTATTCACAGCATAAAATTCATGGTCGTGTTTTTTATAAAAGCATAAACTTGGGAGAATAAAACAAAGTGGTTGATAAATATTAACCAGTTTTCACAAATAACAGTGTTTAAAATAATAACACTGGCACAGCACCTGACAGTTTACAAAAGCTTCAACACGCTTCATTTTGAAAAATCCAGAAAAACATCTTCTTCTTAAGGAAGGGCCTTTGATTTTGCCCCTGTAAACTTCTGATCCATAACTTTATATCCTAAAGCATTCTGGCACCAAAAAAAAAAAAACCTGAACCATCTTTTATGAATATATTTTGGAAGTCTGCTGTCAGAATTCAGCTCATAGGCATCAAACAGAAACCTAGTGGAGCTGTTCAAAATTCTGGCCCAGATTAATTTTAAAAAGCTGCATTTGGATAGGGAGTTGTTTCCAAAGGTTAAACTGAAGAACAATTGATTTCACCAGAAATCAAAGTCCAGATATGATACTAGCTATAGAGTGGTCATATTTTTCTTGAAAATCTGGAATGTCTTCGGGAACAAATGGCTGTCACATGTCTGCTCCCTTTCAATAATGTCTTAATTACCAGAAAGGAGAGAAGGGTTAAATTGTAGCCCTTCCCACTCTGCGTGTGGGGGTTTGGGGGGGAATGGGAGGATGGGAGTACGGCTGGGGTGTAAGAGAAACAGCAAAGGTGAGAACGCACTATTCTGAATCTTCAGCCACAGACGAAGGGCCCAGGACGAGTGGAGGAACCAGATCTAGAGAACAATCTAGGTGGATGACCACGAGTTGAGACACGGCAGGAAGTCGCTTCCTGAACAGCCCTTACTGTGGAGGAGGTGGGAGGGGCCTTTCACGCGGCGCTCTCTACACCAATAAGCACTCGGTGACATCCATGGGCCCCACTGACCTGTGTCAGATTGGCCCGAGGCCAGTCTTATAATGTCCAGGAGGGCTGCCCGTCTTCTACATCCCAGGATTAAATCTTGAGAAGAATTTGATGGAAAAGTAGGCTTTGGGAAAGTCTACTCTGCAGGGCACTGATGCACGGAACAGAGGTGACCTATTGTGTTAGCCCGGGACAGGACAGGGCTCCGTCTGACTGGGCTGCTTTCAGATGTCATCCCCACTTCTGGGACCCAAACCCACAGAGCGCTCCCAAACAAACAGGTGAACGTCGGTCCACAGACATCAGAGCAAGAGTCTGGTGTCCCTGCAGCTGAGCTTCCCAGTTTCCTCTGGAGAAAAAGCGTTTCCTCGGAGCCTGAAGGGGATAAAGCAAAGAGAAGTTTGCGTGAGGGCAGGACCAGGGCCGTGCCGTCAGTTGGAAGCTGCCCACTTTCTAACCCCGTGCCCAGAAGGCCTGGCCCTCCAGCCCAGCTGCAGCTCTCCTGGGAGGGCAAGTCTATGCTGGTTTCACCCTCTGTCAGCTGGGGCGGCTCATGAATCACTGTGCACGATTTAACAAGCCTCCGTGACTCTGCAGAGTCCACACCAGACCCAGCCAGCCCTGACTTCCAAGGCTGGCGATTCTTTTTAAGGCAACAGCAGAATCTGTCAGGAATGCAATGCGCCAGTCCTGATGTCCTCCCAAGCTCTGCCAATGGGCAGCAAATAACATCAGAACCCTTAAAATATCAACCTGACGCCGGCTTGCTCCGCCTGGACACAGAATGTGACATTTCTCAGAACTGTGCAATGATTTAAAAAAAACAAAACAAAACAAAAGCCACGATCTGTCCAGGACCTGAGGACCTTACAGGCTACAGGAATTATATAACTGCACAGAAGGGAAAAAATCTCTCCATCACAGGACAGATTTTTAGAAGTCTTTTATTTTTAACTTCATCATTTGATAGCTACAGTTGGTACTGCCTCGATATGCTTTGGAGGGAGGGACAAATCTGCATATTTAAGGTGGGGTCCATGAGCTTCCAGGGCTGTGGTACATAACCTGCGGCAGCCAAAGGGGTCTGGGCCCAGACGATCAGCTAGTGGGATCTGGGGTCAGCGAAAGCCCGTTTGCCCAGACAAGTGGAGTCGGCCCTTCCTCTGCACTGCTTAAGTACTCGCATTCCAAATGGGGGCCCAGAGTCATCAGCTTTTTTGAGAAACTCCTGAAAGATAGATTTCTTTTTCATAGGGAATGTCCTCATTTTAAAATATTGGTTTCTAGCCCAGTGCCTAAAGCGTATACAGCAATGTTCACTCATAACATGTTAAACCAGGGGAAACCTTTCCACTTATCAATGGAGTATTAAATAGAACCCTGGAAAGAAGAAGGATAAATCTTTGAAGTTGTGACAGTGCTTTTTTAAAAATATGTGAAGAAACGTGGCTTTTAATTCTGTAGAAAGACTTGGAAACACTGTGCGACAGTTCCCATCCTGTGTAACATCCACCCAGAACTGCAGAGGGTCTAATGCAACAACAGCCTTGGCCTGCGAAGGCAGGTGTCATGCTCAGCAGGACAGGAGCTGATTTCTCTTCTCTGTTTCCCTCTTCAACCACACCCCAATTCCCACACTATTGCCTAGAACAGAGACATTTCTGCATAAATACTCATGATTTAAAAATGAAAGAGTTGGTCCCTGCTTAGAAACATGAAGACCTCTTTCCCAGAGAACCATATGCATCACATGCAGAGTGGCACCAAATGTTAGAGTCCCAAGGGATTTCAGGAATTCTCAAGTTCTTCTCTCACTTCACAATTTATAGATTGGAAAACTGAGGCTGAGAGAGGTTAAAGAGGTATGCCCAGGGGTCTTACCAGACTTCCATGATGGTGTCATTCTTTTCAAGGGCCTGCAGGAGGGCTTCTGCCCCAAGGGAGGTGATGCAATTGTTGGACAGCCTGGAGAGGAAGATGGAATGGTGAGCTTCAAGGATGCTCGTTCTCCTCATGAGCCTGTCCAGTTCAAGGAGGCTTTGGGAGTCAGCCAGCCTCCCGAAGCCCACCTGCCCCCCTCAGCATGTCCCTCTCCTGCCTGAGATTCCCAGCAAGCTCATCAACAAAGGTTCAATGCCCCAAGTGAAATGCACTCCCCTCTCCTCCATTCACCAGGTGAGTATATCTAATAAGGTAGCTGCTCCCTTAAGAAGGAACTATGATGTGGTAGTCAAGTATGTGCATTTTAGCGCCAGACTTCCCGGGTTCAAGTCCACCTTACACTACTTCCTTTTTGACCTCAGGCAAATTAGTCCCAATTTCTTCACCTGAAGAATGAACCTAAATGGGTACCCACCTCATGGAGCATAAGAATTAAACAAAGAATGGCATATTCTAAAGCAGTGGGGGCCTGTACTTAACAGATAGAAAATAATCCATGAACAGTAATATTTTCATCTGAGGGCCTCGGGGGCACAGGGACACAGACAGATTAAAGAAAATATAAGGTTGGCAGAAAGACTCACAGACATAGAAAACAAACTGTGGTTACCAGGGGGGAAGGGGTAGAGGAGGGACAGATTAGAATTTTGGAATTAACAGACACACGTTACTATATATAAAATAGATAAACGACAAGGACCTACAATATAGCACAGGGAATTGTATTCAATTTCGTGTAATGAGCCCTAATGGAAAGAAAATTGAAAACATATACATAAATATACGTATGTATGTGTATAACGGAACCGCTTTGCTATACAGCTGAAACTAACATTGTAAATCAACTACACTTCAATAAGAAATAAGAATTAAAAAAAGAAAATATGAGGTTGGGAATAGGGAGGGCAGATGGCATACAGTTAGGAATAGCGGGGGAGAGCCAAGGGTTCCCCACGCTGTTCTTTCGCTCATAGCTTGGCCTTCTAGGTTATCTCCACTACCCGTCTTCCCCCTCCACAATTTCAGGAACTTCTGAGAAGCTGTCCCTAAGGCAATGCTAATAATAACAGCAGCCAGTGTCGGTCCAGCTCTTACTACGAACCAGCTCATTACTGACATCCTCTCAGTGCGTGCGCAGAACCCTAGGGCGAGGGTTCAGTTATTACCCCATTTACACTGAAGGCAACTGAGACCCAGATCCAGGGAGGACCGACTGTTAATGGTGCAGCTGGGGCCCAAACCCCGGCCACCAGGCTCCACTCTTAACCAATGCTCGGCAGAGGCTGTGCCTGGAAGAAAGATGTAGGCTTCGCTTTGCTTTTTTAAGATATGTGAGCAGCTCGATTTTTATGGGGAAACAGTGGAGGAGGATAAAGTTCAGTGATGCTGAATTATAAGACTCTCAACGAGGCAGCGTGGGACAGCGGCCGCTGCCACTGCCTGGCGTCCGTGGGGGCCCTAAGTGGGTTAAGTCTGTGATGATGAGTGGGGACAACTTAGCCTCATTCACACCGGGTGGATAATAAGCCAGGAATTGCCAAGGTCCCCCAAGGTGCAAAGCAGGTTGTCCCAGCTCAGACCAACCTAGGCTCCACCCCGGGCCTCCCAGTCCAAGCTTCACCCATGTGACGGTGGAAGTGTTTTCCCCAAATATTTGGAAACTTCCGAGCCCCTGTGAAGCAACACAAGCAAGTGCTGCCAGGCTGGATGGCGGGCTGGCAGCAAAGCAGACGTTCTCCCAGAGGCAGCTGTCTGCCTGTCTTGGAAGGCTGGTGTTTTCCCCAGGCCCCGTTTGCCAGGGCAGATGCCATGCTCCTTTAGCAAAAGGAGCCATCTGTTGGTGCCCTGATATCCCCAGGAAATGAGGCCTCTGGCACCACGGCTGGTGTGGCGCCAGCCTCAGAGAGCAGCGTTTCACGAGCCAGCCTCCCGCTCACATCCGCCATCCCTGTCCCTGTGGCATGAGTCCCTGTCCACTGAATCCATCACCCATGGTACCCCGACCATTTCCCCAGCAACACTGCCGCAGCCCAGCCCCCTAGCTCTGGACCTGCAGGACCTCCACGAGCTCCGGTCCCTGTTCACCCTTCCTCCACTGCCATCAGCCTGATCCAGTCTCCTTCATCGCCCAGAAGGCTGCAGGAGCCTCCTGGCTGGTCTCCCTGCTTCCCTCTTGCCCCTTCCACCTGTTCTGCACAAAACAACAAGCATGATCTTTCCATGATATAAATCAGATCACGTGACTACCCTCATTCAAACCCTCCAAAGGCTTTAGAAAGTCCTTAGGATATACCCCCAAGTCCTTCCCATGGCCCTGAGGGCCCTATGGCCTGTTCCCCCCACCTCTGCCCCGCCACCATCTGCCACAGGCCAACCTCACAGGCCCTCCTTCTGTTCTCAGAATCACCAACCTTGTTTCTGCCACAGGACCTTTGTACTTGCCATCCTGGCCACCTGGAATGCATGTCCCTAAGACCTCACATGGCGGGAACCTTCTTGTTATTCAGGTTTCAACTCAGATGCCACCTTCTCAGAGAGGCCTTGCCCAGCAGCAGCTACCCCACCCTCTCCGGTCAATCCCTGTCATCTCTCTCTTGAATTCTCTTGAGAGTACTTATTACTAACAGAAATGATATTATATTTATCTGTTTACTTGTTCATTATCTGTCTCTCTCATTCAAGTCTAAGAGCTCCATGAGCAGGGCCTTTTTGCCCACTATATCCTCAGTGCCTCAAACAGAGCCTGGCACCGAGTGGGTGCCCCAGAAGCATTTCTTGTATCAACACATAAATGAGTGAGTGCACAGAGCAATAAAAGCAAGCATGCCTGCCTGCATAACACACCAAGAGGAACCCCTGGAGATGACCGTCAAAATCCTCCCACCTGAGTCAGAGAACCCGTGGAGAGGGGGATAGAAGCTGGTGCTGTGGGCACCCTAAACATATCTGCTCAACTCTCACCTCTAATTCTGAGGGCTGCTTGCTGAGAAGTTTCTACTCTCTGCCTGAGGCCCTTCTGCTGACCTGAGGAGCATGCCCAGCCACGTTCAGGGCAAGCCAGAAGTGCTAGAAATTGAATATCTCCACCAGCACCCTTCAACATATGAAGGACAGGCAGTTGGTGGATAAATAACCCCACTGCCTCACGCCTGTAGGATTGTGCCCCAGTGGTCCCCAGTGATAACCAGTTCCATGACACACCCTTTCTTGGTTACCTTCCTTCCCAGCCTCACTTTACCACTCTCTCACCAGTGTTTGCCGGGACCACCTCCCAAGTAATCAGTGCACACTGGAATCCCTGCCTGTGCTTGGGGGAACCCAGCTCCCTTCCACCTGGCCACCTTGTGTGAGTTAGCCAGGCTGGGAAGCTGCCCAGATCTCTGATTCAGAAACACCCCCTCCCAAGGCCGGTCATCACTGTCCCGGCCCCTGCTTACAGGTTCCTTACTTCAGTACTTTCAAAGTTGAATTTCTCTTAAGTCCTTCAGCGAGAAAGCACACACCTTCATCCTGGACATGGTTCTCCTCCAGGCTGGCAAGAACAAGAGGGAAAACCCAGTTGACAGGGTGATGTTCATTATGGAAGACAATGTCAATAAAGACGAATCCAGGTGCCCCTCCCAACACCATTTAGAAAATCCAACATCTGAAAACCCACAATTACCAATGAAGTAAGAACACATAAAGCAGTGTGTGAGGGTTCTCAATGACTGGGACATCTCTAGGAGAGAATTCGTCCCGGGCTCCTCCACATATGAAGTTCCCTTACGTCCCCATAACCCAATGCCCATTTCCCCTTTCTTTCTTTTTAATAGAACCCTAACTTCATTTGGGGCAGCCATGTGCTTGGTGGAAAAACCACATTCCCCACTCTCCACTGCAGCCAGGGTTGGCTAAACAGCATCCACATGGCCATCAAAACATACGGAGAAGTTAACAGATGAAGTCTCTAGGGATGCTCTTTAAAGAAGAAAGACCCAGCTGGCCTGTTCCTTTTGACCTTCCTGGATATACAGACTGAACCTGGAATACACACCAAGTGCTGCAGGTGCAGCAGCCATCTTGTGACCATGAGGCAACCAACCACGAGGATGAAGCCACACACTGAGGATGTAAAGGAGCTGAGAGAGACACAGTCCAGACCCCTGCTGGCTTCGTGGAGCCGCCATATCAGCCCTATGCTGCCTACCTCCAAACTGCATACACAGGAACAAAATCATTCCTTTACTGGTTTAAGCCACAGTAGATGGAGCTTTTCCATCACTTGTGGCCTAATGTAGTCATAAATGATACACTCACAGTGAGGCAAGCCTCTAACAAGAAATTCCGAGTGTTAGAACCCAATCAAGAGACACTCCATGGTACACTGGCAGAGCTAGGGAGCCCTGCTGACAGCCGAGGCCCATCAGCAAGGTCCACTTTGTGACCTTGCTCATAGATTTCAGTGCCTTTATGCTTCCTGGAGAAAATCAAACATTCAGCACTGTATGTCTCTGATATAGTTTGGAACTGCCCAGAATATGTCATAAGAAGACCAGGCATCTAAAGGATGGAAAGCTTGGAATCAGGTCAACAGAGTAAATATGATTCATGGTTCATCTTTTAACATCCCCCAAAGCCCACTCCACCTTGTAGGTGACGCTGACTCTAATGGCCAGTGCCTAGGCACTCAGGCTCACCATGAAATGACAAAACTGTAGTGGTAGCAGCAGCCACAGTAGTAATATTGTTACTACTACAATTTCACATGGACGCAGTGCTGACACATATGCCAGGCACGGGGTTAAACTCCATATAGGCATTGTCTCGTTTAATTCTTACCAAAGTGTTTTATAGTTGGAAGCAACCACAATTTCATTTTACAGCTAAGAAACTTGAGATTCAGAGACGGTCACTGAACTTGCCTAAGATCACAACAGACCTTGAGGCTCAGCCTGCTGGATTCGAAATTCTGTGCTCGTACCATTATGCCACATGGAGGCGGTAAATGAACTAACAATCCTTATTGGCAAGCTACCCACAATTAAATGAAAAGAATTGGCACCTATACACCAGGCTCTATAAGCTTCATGCCACTCAGGACACAGAAGGACAAACACAATCACCCAGTCACTCAAGCATCCACCTTGGTCTTATCCACACACCTGCTTCTACAAATGAGGCCAGGGAATGAAGAAAGGGTGGTGTCTGCCTCTCCCAAGTGACAAATCCCCCAAACTCACCAGAGCTCTTCCAGGGCCATGTTCTTTTCCAACATCAATGCTAAGGCTCGGGCACCCACACTGCCGATGTTGTTCCCCACCAGGCTGGGTGGAACCAAGGAACAAAACTGTGTCAGAGCAGGGAGGGACCTCAGAGATAAGATAACCTATGAAAGGCAAAAATGCATGGCAAGCACAGCCCCATGTCCAGTACTAATGGATTGGAGTTGATCCTTTAGATAAAATGTATCTGATCCAGCCCAAGATCTTCAATGTACAGACAGAAAACCAAGGCCCTTGAGGGAAGGGACTCAAAATTTCCTGGCTCCAATACAATGGTCTTTCTTTCTCATCCCCATTGTCTAACATGGAGGGGTAAAAATGCAGTTCAACGACCTTCAAAACCAGCCCAAGCTCCTCCCTCCTCATACTGGCTCCTTACCTGAGCCACCTCAAACTCTGGTGATCACCCAATGCTTCAGCCAAGGCCTGGGCCCCCTTGTCACCCACCTTGTTGCCCCAGAACCTGAAAAGTCCAACAGAGTCAACAGATATGTCAGTGAGAACCCACTATGTGTTATACACATGTGCCCTTCCTCTCTACAGCCCCAGCCAGAGGTGAAGGACCACTCAACCCTAGAAAGGTCTCAGGGGGACTCTGAGGTCCCAGCAAAGTGGACCTGCCTCCATCTTTTTGGAGAGACAGCCAAACTTCACTCCAAATGGGTTTTTTAGCTTCTTTAAATCAGACTTACAAAATAATTAGAAGGCCATCCAGTGTATACCCTCAGAGAACGGGGAATTCACTCTCAATGGCAATTCATGGCTGGGACTTTTCTTTTTTGGCATGAGTGTCAGACCTGCTTCCGCTAACTGCCACCCACAAGTCCTTAACCACCTCTGGGACCACCCAGAACAAGGCAGGCAGCTCTTCACCTCTGGCTCCTCCTCTACAACCCCAGTTCCCTTACAATGTCTTACTCCTTCACCTTCTGACTCATCCTCCTCAGATCCACCGTAATTTGGAAACACCCCTTTTCAAAGGTAGAGTCCAGCTCATACCTTGGGACCCGGCCCTATTATATACAGGCAGTTAGACTGGACCTGCAGGTGCCCTCGTGAACAGAGACAGTGGCACTGGGATGTTCACTACACTCTCACTCCTTAATAGTTACTCATCTCTGGCACTGTGCCAGCACTGCTCTGCACTCCGGGGATGTGAGACTGTAACAGCAAAAGCCCTGGAAACAACCTAAAGTGTGCATCACCGTGAGACCAGCGAGAGCGATCACAATAGCCAAGCACTGGAATATGAAGCAGCTATTCTTTTTAAAAAATGAGGTCACGTGACATGAAAAACAAACAAACAAAAACGCCTGTAATATATTGTTAAGGCGAAAAAATGCAAGTTAACAGAACAGTTTGTATCATATGACAGTGTCTGGGGGTTATTCAGCACAGGCCCTGACCCAGCCAGGTGCCTTAATAAATATGCTGAAAGATAAACACCCCAGATGTGTCAGATGTGACCTCAAGCAGGAAAGAGCTCAGAGAGGCTGAGGCCACCCTTTTTTAGACTCTCTGCTGCTACTAATGCATCTCAGAAAAGGTATTGCTCTTTCCAGCAACACGGTCCCATTCTGGGCTCAAACGGAGCTTGTGGGTAGCTTGCCTGTCTGTAAAGTGGGTTGGAACACCTGGGCCTGAAGGTTATTCTTTCTTCCTACAGCCCTGGGTTCTAAAACTCCCAGTTGTCGTCAAATAGATCCTAGTTCACACCAGGGCAAGACAGGGCAGGAGAGGGGCCTCCCGGGGGCATCACTCCGCCCAGCAAACAGAGGAAGCCCCCTCTGGGGGCCCTGCGGCGGTCTGCGGGACTGCCCTCCCTGCCTGTGTCTGACTCCCCTCCCCCTCCCTGGCAGGCCCAGCCGTGGCCACAGGAAACAAGGGCTCTGAAGGACCTGGCGCAGCCCCCTCCCATCCTGGATCCAGTGTCACGCCTTCCCCACTTCTTTCTCTCTCCTTGGTTCTCACCCCTGGCTGCACATCGTCCGGGGAGCCTTTCAGAATGACTGATTGTTAGACCTCGGCATCTAGATATGTTATTGAATTAGTCTGGGGTGGGGCCCAGACAATGGCGTTCTTCAGAAACTACCAAGTGGCTCCAAGGGACAGACAAAGGAGAGAAGGACAACCCGAGCACTATCGAGGACCAGAGGGTTTCCTGCTGCCATTCATGGGCACTGCCCTCCCCCAGCCCTGACATCCTGAACTTCCTGTTTATTGAGTGAAAAGCAAGGCAGAGGCAGCTCAGGCCGCTCACTCGCTCCCTGCCTCACCCTCCCCACTGCAACCTGAGTGTCCTTTTCTGGCTAAAGGGTTCATGTCACCTGCCCCTTAATCCTCACAAGCCCCAAACCCCTCTGTGCGCCCCCTCCCCCCAGAATCCCACCTACCCCAGGAACTGCAGGGAGGTGTTGGCTCTGAGCCCCTGGGCCAGCACCTGGGCTCCTGCAGCGGTGATGCGGTTATTCCCCAGCCTGGAAGGGAAGACAGAGGAGGCTGAGAAAGAGAGAGGACACAGGGACCCTTAGTGCCCTGAGGCCCGGGTCAGGTTGGGGAAAGCGCAGCCTGGACAGAGAAACAAAGAAGAAAGCTTTGAAGACCTCTCTGGAGGATGCCGGATGCGGGAACCGGTCTTCTAGCTCCAGCTGAGCAAGTGCATGGGTGCTGTGTGTGCTCAGGGAGCTCCCTCAAGGCTCCTGCAACTTCATTTTCCACCAGCAAAGGGAAAGTAGTGAAAGGGCCTGTTTTGCAAAGCCGTGTGAGAGGCACCAACAGGCACCAACAGGCAGCTGTCCACGGAGGTGGTTTCCCCAGAGGACAAGGGTGACTCACTGTCACATCTCCTCCCGTCTCAGCCCCCTGCAGCCTTCCCAGATCCACTGTCACTGCAGGTAGCATTTACCTGATTGGAAAGAGCCTGGGGCAGGCCCAGGTGGCTGGACAGAGGAAAGGATCCTCAAAGCCTTCAGGCAGGGGTTGAGGAGGGGGTTTCAGCAAAATCTATACACCTCAGAGAGTTTCAGGGAGGTCCCCAGAAATCTCACCCACAGCTCCCAGGCTTCCTGCAGTAATAATACGATTTCATCTTTCAAAGAACTTTCAAACACTTGAAGCCACTCTGGCTCACAATAATCCTAGAAGGCAGGTATTATCACTATCCCCTTCCGGAAGGGGTGTGGCAGCCTCTCAGGTCACTGACCTAGGTGTGTAACTAAGGGCCCCAGCTCTTGTGCCGGGAGGTCCAATGTCCCCTCTGCACCAAGTCCCTCTTCCCACAGGCCGCTCCCAGCCTGGGACTGGGAGACATGAGACCCCTCTGCTGGGCTCGCTGGCTGGGGGACTCCCCAGCAGCCTTCTGTCCTCTCTCCGAACTGCACTGGAGTCTAAGATTCTTCCTCCCAACCTTCCTTGCTTCCCTCTCTCCATCACTCAGGGTCAGACCTGCACTGCAGTCAGCTGATCCTCTCAGCCTCCCCCAGCTCCCTTCCCTAATTTCCCCTCACAGGCATTTCCCCAACAAATTTTTTTAATTCCCCCTTGGAGGGCTGGACTAATAGGATAAACATGCTGAGAACTTACATGATTTACCCGCCATCTTTCAGGCACCAAGTTCACTATATAAAGCGCTTACTATATTGTACCAGCTTTTTGTATATCAACTTGCTTAACTGTCACAAGAACTATAAGGTAGTTATAATTATTATCTCCATTTTTTTTTATGAGAGGGAGGTGATTGGGTTTATTTATTTATTTATATTTGGAGGAGGTACTGCGGATTGAACCCAGGACCTCATGCATGCTAAGCACACACTCTACCACTGAGCTATACCCTTCCCCAATCCCCATTTCATAGAAGGGAAAACAGAGGCACAGAGATATTGGGCTGACCCATGGTCACACAGCTAATGAGGATGCAAATCTCGGAGATGCTGGTCTGGTTCTAGAGCCCCTGGCTCTCAACAATGATGCTACGTTAACCCAAAACCCAGGCCTCACATTCTTGGTGCAGCACCTTTCTGCCACCCTACAGCCCTCCCTGGAGGTTGGGCCAACTGGTTCAAGCCACAGAGGCTCTCAGGTTTCTAAGTCTATGGGAGCAAGTAGTAGTGGCAGAAGAGAGTCCTTGGCACAGAATGACAGCTCTAGGGTGGCCTTAGCAGCCCTGAGCCTGAGCTACACAGTCAGCAATTTAAAAACCGCAGCTCCCATCCCCAAAAGGATGGAAGCAAGTCTTCACTTTGTCTTCTTTTACTGCCTCATAAATCCAGGAGGCAAGATGATCCCAGAGAGAAAGAGAAGCCAGGCCAAACTGGGACCAGCTGGAAGGGCAATGTAATGGTACCAGTCAGAAGAGAAACTCCAGCTGAGACCAAGGGGTTCAGGAGCTGCAGAAATGCAGACTTTCCAGACTAGGGTGCAAACCCTGCACCCACCATGCAGTAAAAGGACCTTCTGAGAGCTTTCGGGGAACTGGCTGCCACCGCTGTGGTGGCAAGCGACTGCTGCCTTCCTCCCTGTGCCTAGCACGTGCTCAGCGTACCTTAGGGAACTTGTGAACCCCAGAGAGCTGGCAACATTTTAGACACAAGGAAGAAAAAGGTCCTGGAAACCTTCTTCAGCCCTTGGGGGCTGAAGGTCAAAAGGCAGGAAGCCTCAGCAGACTGGTTCAGAGTTTGCTGGGGAGGTCACAGCTTTGGTGAAACTCTCCTCAAAATGAGACACTCGCCCTGTATTCAGCCAGCAGATCCTGTGCACCACACGGGCCAAACCAGGGCCAAGACCAGACCAAACTGACTCAGCTGTGGGGACAAAAAGCGGTTTCCAGGGGTAGGGGGGCCCCAGGCTCACCTCAATGCCAAGAAGTTCTGCCTGCGTGCAAGGAGCCTAGCCATGGAGTGTGCACAGCCGTCCGTCAATCTGTTGTTGAATAGACTGGGAAGTTCCAAGAGAGAGGAGATATGGAGACAAGGCACAGTGGACAGTGACCACCTGAACCCCAGGTAGCCAGCTCCCTCAGGACAGGAGTCCCCTGCGCCCTCCAGGCATGCAAACACACCTGGCCTGGTCCGGCCCTCGCTCACAGCTGCTGCCCAGGTGGCACAGCCTGGAGTGAGGCTGGGGATGTGGGGCCCAACGTCCGCCCAGCCTGACTTACGCTAACTTCTGCAGCTGCTCACAGTGGAGAGCATGTTCGACGAGCTTGCAGATGCCTCGGTCTGAGATGTTGTTATCTCGCAAGCTACAAACAGATAAAATAGATAAAGATAAACCTGAAATCAAAGCAGATGAGAGAGGGGGAAAAAAAAGAACAAAATCCCAAAAGAGACCTTCGCTCAACCCCGAAGCATCAGCGTCTGTGCTTCTGGGAAACGCCACAAGGATGGAGGACCCCGGAAAATGGAGACTCCCCCCTGCCTGGCCAGGGTGCTGATGTCACGTACTCTGCGCGGGGGGCGGGTGACTCCAGAAGTGGGGACCCAGAGGCCCTGCAAAAGAGCACTGGAAGCCTCGGAAAGGCACTACCTAACTGGAGGCACTGTTTCTAGCTTGTAAAAGGGAAAGGAGCATCACGAAGGCTCTGTGGTGGGATGGAGCAGGTATAGGGGAGGGCGCAGTGGGAACTAGACAGGCCACCATCCAGGGGAGTAGAAGGACCACCAGTTAAACAAGTTAGGCCAAAACTTTAAAAAACCAGCACTAACCGCAACGTTAATGCTCCCATAGGCCAGCCTCTGCCTGTCAGGTCTCTTCTGACGCTCCCCTGAGGGCAGTGTTCCCAAAACTCACCTGATCACAAGATCATCTGAAAGCATCCCTAAAATACAGACTCTCAGGACCCTGGCCTGCAATTTTTGAGTCTGCATGTGTGAGCTGGGGCTCAGACATCTGTGTATGTTAGTAACTGCGCCCAAGCTTCTGCCTCTTCAGGCCATCTTGGGAGGTCCTGACTTAAAGGTTAATACCTCAAGCTCTGAGATCCCTTAAAGGAAGTTCTGCTCCTGGGAAGCCACCTACTAGCTATTTGTTGGTCCCTTCATCTGTGTGAAAAAGAAAGGATAGTATTACTGACCTCTCTGGGTTCTGGTGAGGATTTAAAGAGACAGTGCACACAGTAAAAGCTGTGAGCACCTGGCACATAGTCAAAGCTACCTGTAATCTGATCGCTCGCACAAATGGATTGTCTGCCATCCTAGGGCTGTCCTCAGCATGTCCCAATAGTAAGGATATTTAAATTTCACAGCCCACGAAGTAGGTACTATTACAATGTCCAACAGAGAGAAAGAAACTGAGGCACAGCAGGTGATGTGACTTCACCAAGGTTGTACAGCTCCTAAGGGATTTGGGGCTAGATGGTCTGGCTCCAAAGCCCACTCTTAGCCACGACTTTATACGACCCTCTCCCTTCCCACCTGCTCTGGGCTCTAAGGTCAGATTTCACGCACTGGGGAGTCACAAAATCAACTTGGACGGTTCTGAGCAGGATTTTTAAGCACAAAAAGAACAGAAAGAAAAAAGAGAGCAGAGTGTGTCCGGGTTAATCAGAGAAAGTCATTTCGTGAAATTTCAGTTTTACATGCCTGCGTGCCTGCTCACACCCTCTCTCACTGCGGGTCACAGTCAACAAACTTTCAAAGCCATCGCCTAGACCTAGAGTCAGAAGCAGGGTCTAAAGAAACCTACATGCACAGGGGCACTTCGTGCATGGGGCTTCCTGACGTCTGAGGACTTCGGTTGGCATAGGAACGTCTGAAGTGGGAGAGAGGCGGCTGGGCACCGTGGGAGAGAAATTTCTCTCTCTCTCTCTCTCCCTCCTCCCTCCCTGCCTCTGTCTCTTTCTCTCTGCCTCTCTGACCCCCTCCCTCACTCCCTCTCTGTCCCTGTGCCTCACACACACAGGAAAAGCCCACGCAGCAACCTCATGGCTGTCTGCACACCTCCCCTCCCCCCCGGCCCCGACCCCGGCAGCAATGGCAGTTTCAGTACTAAGTGTGTGTGGGGTAAAGCGCAGCGGAACTTGGTCAGGGACTTTCACTGCCAGGGGAAAATCAAGCAGGTTCCCACAGGTCCTCACAGGGTGGTCTCTAAAGTGCTTGTGTCAGAATCACTTTCTTTCTTTATTTTTTTTGGTGGGGGGGTAATTAGGTTTTGTTTCTTTTCTTTTCTTCTTTTTAATGCAGGTGCTGGAGAGTGAACCCAGGACCTGGTGCCTGGTAGGCATGCACTCTACCACTGAGCTATATCCTCCCCGCTCAGAATCACTATGTTTAAAAACAGGGATTCCTGGGCCCCCACCTCGGATCTACAGAATGGGAACCGCTGAGTACAGGCCCAAGACTCTGCATTTCCACAAGCCCCGGTGCACACGACAGTCTGAGCACAAGAATCAGACCATCCTCACCTTTCTCTGAAAAGAGAGGCTGGCCCTCAGCCTCCACTCAGCCCTTCCACACACCCGGGGAGTCACGTGGGCCTTCCCACCCAGGGACGGGGGGGTCCCTTCATGCTAGGGATCCATCTGCGAGGACCACCTAGGCCAAGTGGTTCCTGACCTCTTGGGGTTCAAGGACTCCTCTGAGAACTACCAGTCCACTCTCCGGAAAAATGCACATTCACAATTCTATCAGGAAAACAGCGCCCACAGAGAGCTCTCCAAATTCCTGGGTGAAAATACCAGGTTCCTCCTTCCGAGGGAAGCACTGTGCTGTCCTATTGTGTCCACCCGGCCAGATGCTCTTGCCCCCTTCCCTGCCCGGCTCTCGGTCCTGGACCACATCAGCAGACCCCCTGCTCTGGCTCCCTGTGGGTTAAGGCAAGAGTAGGGAGGAGAGGACAGGCCAGGGATTGCCCCCAGACCTCACCCTCACACTGTGCAGCCTCAGTCCTTTCAGCCAAGAACCACTCGGCCCGCCCCCACTTCAGGCCTAAGGAGTTTAACGGCCCTCTCTCCACCCCAGCCCCACTGCCTTAGCCCAGGACCCTTCACTGCCCCTTTCTGCTCTTCTAACTCCTGCCCAAGCTTTTGTAAACAGTCCCTTTGTTAAACTCTCCTCAAAGCATCCAATTTAAGTGTCCTCAGCTTCCTCCTGATACATTCATACTTATCACATATATTAACTCTTATCATCTATATATTAACTATGGTGTGCTATATATTACATGATTATTGCATTATATTTATAAACCTACGACCACGGTCCCTCTGTAAGGGACAGCAAGGACCACCACATGGTTTCTAGTAGACTTTCATGTGTTTGCTCGATGGAGAATAAACTCTTCCTATCTTCCTGCTTTGCCCCAGAGAAGGTGTGTCACCTTAATACATTCAAGAAGAGGTTCATCCTTTGCTCAGGGTCAAATAAGGTCACCTGAGGGAGACCAAAAGCCCTGGGAGGCTGTGAGTTGATTTCAACTTTGAGGTATAACTTCTGCTTTCTCAGAGGTTTAAAATAGGGAGCAGGACATCCCCTGCAAGGCTGTAAGGGAAGCTGGGGTGCCCGCAGCATGCCCTCTGCCCTTGCCTGGCCCAAGATGTACAGAGAGGCCCATGGGTGCTGGGGTACAGCCATTCCTCTGAGGGAAAGCTCACACCTTCGACAAGGGGCTGAAAGCAGGCAGGACAGTGCCAAAATCTCTGCGCTTCATAAGGAATTAAAAAAAAGCAGGTGATGCTCTGTGGCCACTTTCTATCTCTTGAGTGTCAAAATTCCATCTCATTGGGATTTTAAAGTCTCTCATGGGGATCATATGGGATTAACAGATGCACACTACCATATATAAAAATAGATAAAATAGATAAACAATAATAAGTAGATTTACTGGACAGCACAGGGAACTATATTCAATATCTTGTAACAAACTAGGATGGGAAAGAATTGAAAAAAGAATACAGATATATACATATGTGTATGTGTCACGAATTGCTTTGCTGTACATCTGAAACAAACACAATATTGTAAATCAACTACACTTCAATTTTGAAAATAAATAAACTTTAAAAAAATGAAATAAAATAAAGTGTCTCATGAGGCACAAGTCACCTCCGATTTGGGAGTAGTTCCTAACACAGACACACGTGACACAAAACTTGCCTGTGATTTCCAGGTTGCCTTAGTGCCTCTGAAGCCCATCCACAGGCAGCTTGCTTGTGGGGAGCAAAGACTTGTTATCAGAAAGATGTGATTTGTGAATCCCAGCTCTGCCATGTCCTGCGTGACCCTGGACAAGTTACCTCGCTTCTCGGAGCCTCAAATTGAGGATAACGGAAATAATAACATCTCTGCCTACAGCCCAGGGTGGTCGTGGAGACAGAAGGAGGTAATTCTGGGCCGTGTGTAACACAGAGCCTGGCACATGGGACACTCAGTGAATTATGGCCATTGTTATCCTATGTTGAAGCTAAGGCCCAGACTAGGGAAGGGACTTGGCTGCGGTTGTACAGAAGGGGTGGCAGGGCTGGGGCTGGGCCCAGACTCCCGGATCCCAGCACGGAGCTCCCATACCTGCATCCCGATGCTGGCATTCCCACCGTGCCCAGCCAGCATCGCCCAGCATCACTCACTAAAGAGCCTTGCAGACGCTGAGGCAAGGCAGCAGCTGCTCCACGCCAATGTCGCCCACAGAGTTGTGGTCCAGCTGCAGGGCCACAGGCCGCCGGAGGTGCCGCAGCACGAAGGCCAGGGCAGCACACTCAGCAGGGCCCACACTGCAGAACGTCAGCTTGAGGTGCCCGACATTCAGCCCACGCACGGCCTCCCGTGCCAGCCGCTCCTCCTGCATCTCATACAGACTCCGGATAAGCCAGATGAACCCGGGCATGGCGTGCATGCTCTTGGCCTCACCCGGCACGGCTGGTGGGATGGAGTGGAAGTGCTTGTGGAGGCTGCGGGCCAGACACCACCGGGCGCAGGCCTGGCGCCGGAGCAGGGCCTTCTCAGATGCCTGGCACTCGGCCAGCAGGTCCCGGTGCTCCTGGGACAACAGCCCTGCCAGGAAGGCCGCTGTGATCTGGAGGTTGTGCAGCTCAGCCTCCTGCAGCAAAGCAGCCACACTGCCTTCCTTGCACCCCGAGCCCCGCACGCACAGTTTGGGCAGCAGCCTGGCCAGCGGCAAGCTGCTGGGCTTGTGGCAGTTGAAGAGATGCCTGAGTGAGGATGGAGATATGTCAGCACTGAGGGCGAGGTAGAATGCAGCAAAAAAGCACTGGAAGGTGATGTGCAGGAATTCCACGGGGGCCGTACTCCCGGGCACAGCCCTCTTGGCCTGCACCAGGAAACCAAGAGAAACATCCTCACTGTTGACGTATGCTGCCTGCAGTTGCTTGGCTGAGAAAACATAGCAGCACGTGCCCAGGCCCCGGAGAGCCAGGAGGCCAAGGTGCAGGAGGGTGGGAAGCCTGCCCCGAAGCAGGCTGGGCCCCAGACCATGGGCAGCTGAGTCTGGGGGACAGGCGTGCAGCAGAAAATGCTGCAGGATCAGCAGGTACATATCCGTGGTGGTCTTTGGGGACCCTCCGCCTTGCAGCAACAGTTCCTGGTGGCACTTGGACACCATCCACGAGAAGACAGGCATGTGGCACAGACCGTGCAGGGCTGAGGTGGCTCTGAGCAGGCGGATGAGGCGATCGGCCACCCCAGGCTCACGATGGCGCTTCCTCAGGTACAGTTCGATGCCCTCTTCCGAGAAACCCTTGAGGCTGAGTTCCACGCGCACATGCTTCCTAAGGCCTGCTGACACCGCATCCGGACGGCTGGTCAACACCTTGTGGGCATTCTTCAGCAGGTTGCCCTGCAGAAGGTTGAAGAGCAAGCTCTGGACAGACGTAGGGGTGGTGGGAGAGCAGTGACGCTCGCGATCCGTGAACCTGAACCTGAACTCATCAAAGCCATCAAAGGTTAAGAGGATGCGCTCGGGATGGTCAAGGAGGACCTGGAAGATGTCCTGTTGGCCAAGGTCGGGCCAACAGCAGTGTTCAAAGAGCAGCATCTGCACAGACAGCGGTTTCGCCAGGCACTGCAGCTGCCGGCAGCTGAATGGGAAGACGAAAAGGAATTCCTGGAAGCCCCGCCCCGAGGCCCACAGCAGGTGCAGCTGCTGCAGGAGCGTGCTCTTGCCGCTGCCCGCCTCGCCCACCACCAGCACGGTGTCTGCGTCTCCGTTGATGTGGCCTCTGGTGCTGAAGAGCTCCTCCAGGCGCAGGGTGGCAGGGCTCTGCTGCAGAGGTTCAGCCGTGCCTGCCTCCGTCCGGATCTCCAGAACATTCTCTGTATATATTTCTTCCAGGCAAAGATTCTCTGCCCCATCGTAGGTGCTCAGAAAGCGAGACTGAGCAGATACCGTGGTCCTCAGCTTGGTCATGTACTTTTTACAGGCGGCATCTGGAAGACGGAAGAAGAACCAGATGAGGCGGTACCATGATGAAGATGAGGCCTGACCAGAGAGTGGGCTGCCGGAGGGAAGGGGACGTCACATGTGGGCAAGAATGGCCGGCGGCACCCGTCCTGGCTCTCCACTCACAAGCTGTGGACTTTGAGGTTGGTCATGTAAACTTCCTAAGCCTCAGTTTTCTCCCCTGTGAAATAGAAGAAATGGTCCCTACCTTACTACCTTACGCAGGCAGGGACCCACGTGAAAAACCATGGATCAGTGAAGATAATACATTGTTTAGTGCTTTGTTCGGTGTCCAACACAAAGTGCTCAAAAGATACTACTTAGCACTATTATTATTACTGACATCAGAAAAAGCTGTAGAATATTAGAAGGAGCACCACGCTGGGGTCAGAAGACCCACATTCTGATGCCTGTCCCACCATATTGGTTTGGTAGCCTTAGACAAATCCCTTTACCAGTCAGCCTCAGTTGTCCTTCTAAAGGGAAACAAAAGATCTAAGGGGTTGGGAGCCCAGTTTCTTAAGTCAGAAACACCTGAGTTTGAAACCTGGGTCCACTACCAGCTGGGGCAGGTCACTCATCTCCTGTGGCCTCACTATTCTTCCCTAAAATTGGGGACAATCCACACCTTCAAGGATTGTTTTATGAAGAAATGAGATAAAACAGAGCTTAGAAGAATGGTGATATACCCTCCCAAAATGGTGTTTATTATCATTATTATTATTGGGTGTGGGAGATACAACAGTCCAAGATGTCCACATCCTAATCCCCAGGATCTGTGAATATGTTAACTTGCTTGCAAAAAAGATGTGATTAAAGGCCCTGAAATAGGAAGTGTATCATGTAGGTGGACCTAGCACTGGATGGGGTCTGGGTCACTGAGGCGCCCAGGGCATGCCCTTGGACAAGATTCCGTGATCAAGATCCACTTCCCCATCCTCTTCATACAACCCTCTGCAATAAAATGCTCATGTGTAGGATGTGTCCAAAAAGCTGCTGTTTTTTTCTGTATTATCCTAACACTAACATGTGCAAACCACTCCCTGTGTCAGGATTTAGTTCTTTTTATAGGAAATGGGGAAGTGATGGTCCAGAGCCCCAGGGTGATGTGACCTCAGAGCATCACAGCCCCACTGCCCCCAACCAAGTACTGGCCCATTTTTTCTCAACTCAAAGGCTAACCAACAGGAAATTTTCACAGAGCGTTCTCAGCACACGGAAGCTGTGTTTACAGTGGTCCAAAGGACGTGCCCTGTGATTGTGTTTCCTCTTCTGTTCCCAAAGCTAATGATTGGCATTGCTTTTAGCGCTGCTTGGATAAACCAGGAGCACTGAATGAAGACCATAAAATGTATTTTTCCCTCTCTAATACCCTGATTTCCTATACAGGTTTCCCAGCTGCTACCAATGCTATCAAAATTCTCCAGGAAAAAAAATCTCTCATTTTAAAAATAAACATATATCGTCACCTTTAGAACTGTCACCCTGGGGGATTTTGCACCATGGCACAGTGTTACAACGCATGAAGAGCCAGCTGTGCTTGATGACATCAATAGCAAACATTAACCAAGGGCCAAGCCGGCACCACACTCTGAGCTATGCATCCCCTGTCACGCACCGATGCCCGCAGTCTGTTCTCAAGTGAGATGGTGCACACCCAGGCGCCAAGCACAGGCTTTCGGGAATCCTCCCCATAGGCAGGCTCACTGCCCAGAGGGCAGGGTCCAGGGTGATAAATCCACCTGCCAGCACCATGCACAGTTCAGGGGCCCTTGGTGCCAATGAGCCTTCCCTACAGTGACGTGGGAACAAGACATATCAGGCTTGCATCCTCTCTTTACAACTGACAATCTCTTCTCCTAAGAGAAAGCAGAGGAGCAGATGGTCTGAAACCAGATCCATCCTCCTCTACCTCGTCACTTGACCTCCCTGCCCCAGTCTCCACATCTGTAGGGTGAAGAAAACAATACCTAATTCTCAGGGTTGTCGCCAAGGACAGACATCAGCAATAAAGCACCTGGCAGGATGTCTGTGCTGTTCAAGCTGTGTTATCTAAGCCTCTCCCGTTCCTGAGTTGGGGAGGGGACCATGTGAAATATGAAATACCACATTGTCTAAATCCATTTGGCTCCGGAGTTTCTGATGGTGAGTAGCTAAACTGCAGAGATCAAGTGATACCATCCATCAGAAAGTGTATCCACCGGGGGAGGGTATAGCTCAGTGGTAGAGTGCATGCTTAGCATGCATGAGGTCCTGAGTTCAATCTCCAGTACCTCCATTTTTAAAAAAAGGGTATCCACATCTTTCCAGAACAGATAACGAGAGTACGGCTAGTAAGGAGCACCTGAATTAGCCCTCGGTAGCTTCCTGCAGTGCAGGAAGAAATAAAAGCAAACCCTAATACTACACACAGTAATCTTGTTAATCCTTCTAATAGCCCAGTGAGCCAGTGGTGGTGTCACCCCTAAAATGAGGACAGCGAGTCTCAGGGAGGTTTGCACAGCCAGTAAGTGGGATTCTAACTGACGAGTCTCATGACGGAGTTTTTGTTCCCAGCCACAAATCTGAACAGCCTTTCTTCCCCTCTCTGATGAACTGAGAACACATGTATACCTTCAAAAGGCAGGGCCAAAGGGACGGGTAATTCCTGAACATGTTGCAGAAGGAAAGCAGCCAATCCGTTTGTCTTCACTGTGGCAAGATCGAGGAGCCTTCTTGCCTGTGGGGAAAGCAAAAGTCATTATTTTTCCAGAGAGGTGTGGGAAGGTTTCTATTGATTACAATGTTATGGGCATCTCTCTTCCACCGCAATAAAAGGTCAGAAAAACATCCAAACAACAAGATGCATTTAAAGAAGTCACTCAAGTATTGAATGGTGAAATGGACACTTGAATACACATATCCAATCTGGCTGCCTCTCAAAACCCACTGGAAGAGTGAATAACTGAAACACACACACACACACACACACACACACAAATACATAAACCTATGAACCTACAACGATAGAAAAAACAATTCTGGAAGCCAGAAATCACTTGGATGAGAGGTGATTTCATCGAAAGCCTTGAAATACCATGTCTGTACATGACCCCCACATTCCCCTCTCCAAACTGAACTGTTCACCTGGAACTTGAACATGCACATCCACTGCCTATTGACCATCTCCACTTAGATGTCTTATCAACTTAACCTCCAACCTAAAACATCCAGAACTAAAGTCCTAATCAACATGCACATGCCAAATCCATAGCCTTCTTTGTCTCAGCTAATAATGTGACCCCCATCCTTCCAGTTGCTCAGCTCCAAAGCGTTGGAGTCACCCCTGAAGCCTCTCCCCTGAGATCCACCAACAACTCCTATTGGCTCCACCTCTAAAACGTATCCAGCACAGCACTGCTCACTGGAAGTACAGTGCAGAACACAAATGCAAGACACATGTGCAATTTTGAGTCTTCTACTAGTCACATTTTTTACAGTCAAAAAAAAAGAAATTGGTTTTACTGTATCTTATTTAACCCAATACAGCTATAATATTACCATTTTAACATGTAATCAATACAAAAATTGGTGAGCTATTTCACATTCTTTCTTTCATATTAAGTCTTTGAAACAATTTTATTGTGGACCAGCCACATTTCAAGTGCTCAGTAGCCGGATGGTCTATGTCTACCATGTCGTATGCACAGCTGTAGAGCCCCACTCCTTCTTGTCACCTTCCACCATCCTAGTCCAAGCCACCATAACTGCTCACCTGGAAAACTGCAAAGCCTGCCTATCTGATCTCCCTGCTTCTGTCCCCAGACACACAATCTACACTCAACACCATAGTCAGAGTGCAATTCTTTAAAAATGATAGCCAGGTCATACCACTCCTGTTACAAACATCCTAACAGTCCCAGCATTTTCTCAGATTAAAAGCCCAAGTCCAGCTGTAATCTATCAGGCTGCAAACAGGCAAAAGTCCTGGCTGTAACTATCTGGACCACGCTGGTTACTTCTCTGACCTCACCTTTTACTCCTCTTCCCCTGCTCATTCCATTCAGCACACCAGCCTCTGGTTTCCTGAAAATATCAAGCATGCTCCCACCTCTGGGCCTTTGCCCTGCTGTCCCCCCAATTCGAAATTCCCTTCCCCCAGCTATCCACGTGACTCGTTCCCTCATCTCCTTCAAGAATTGCTCAAATTTCACCTCCTCAGTTCTCCCTGACCACTCAGTTTAAAACTGCAATCACTTAACCACCATCCCCTGTAACTGTCAAGCCCCAAACCCACTCTACTTATTTTCTATGGTACATATCACTTTCTAACCTACTCTGTCATTTTTTTCTTCTGCTTATTGCCTATCTATCTCCCCCATCACTGGAATGTGAGCATCTCCAGGACAAAGATCTTTTTCTACTTTGTTTTGTTCTCTGATGTATCCCCAACACTTAGAAGAGTACCTGGCACACAGTAGGTACTCAAAGACTTGAAGAGGATGTGGAGAAAAGGGAACCTTTGTACACTGTTGATGGGACTAAACTGGTGCAGCTGCAATGGAAAGCAGTATGGAGATTCCTCAAAAAATTAAGAATATAACTACATATGACCCAGCTATTCCACTTCTGGGTATTTATCCAAAGAACATGAAAGTACTAATTCTAAAAGGTATCTGCATCCCTATGTTCATTGCAGCATTATTTACAACAACCAAGATATGGAAACAACCTAAGAATCCACTGATGGATGAATGGATAAAGAAGATGTCGTGTACACACACACACACACACACACACACACACACACACACACACACACACACAGTGGAACACTACTCAGCCATAAAAAAGAAATAAATCCTACTATTTGTGACAAGACAGATGGACCTTGAAGGTCTCATGCTAAGTGAAATAAGTCAGATGGAGAAAGACAAATATCATATGATTTCACTCATATGTGGAAACTTAAAAAAAATGAACAAACAAAATAAAACAAAAACAAACTCATAGACATGGAAAACAGATTAATGGTTACCAGATGGGAAGGGGGTTGGGGAGTCGGCAAAATGGGTGAAGAGGGTCAAAGGTACAGTGATGGATAGTAACTAGGCTTGTGGTGGTGATCACTTTGTAAAGTATATAGATATGATACACCTGAAACTTAATAGATAGATAAATAAATAAGGTTCTATAATGCGAGAAGAGGAAAAAACAGGAAGGAAACAGCAATAAACTAATTAAGAAAAATTCCCAGAACATAAAGACATGAATTTCCAGATTCAAAATGTTTCTTGGGGACCTAGTACATTGGAAGAACACTAAGACACATAGCTGTGACATTTCAGAATGTTAGGGACCAAAGGAAATTTTTACAAGTTCCCAGAGTTATCATTGGTTTTGAAATTCTTCCAGCAATTCTTCTCTGGGAAAAGGTAGATCAGGGAGTAATGCTCTCAAAAATTCTGAAGGAAAATAATGGCCAAAATGGCAGAATTTTATACCCAGGAAAACTGCCAATCAAATACAAGGGAACTTTTAGACATATAAGAGCTTAGAAATTTTAACTCCCATACACTCGTTCTAAAGAACTGACTGGAGGACATGATCTACCAAAATAGAGCAAACCAACAAAAAGAAAGGTACAGGAGAACCAACACAAGAGGACCATGCAAGAAATTTCTGGATGACAGCTCCATACTACAAGTACAGGGCCACCAGTCCAGAGAGATCCGAGCAGTGTAACTCAGGATTCAGACATGTTAAGAACAGTTACCTCCTAGGTGTCCAGGCAGGCCTGGATCTAACCCTTACCAATACTTGGCTTGTCTGTACCATGGTCTACTATCATTCTTTCTTTTAGCCCATGTTGCCTGGGTCAGCTAAGGACACTCACCTCACCCCACAGAACTGTTGAGCCTAGCCCTGGTCCTGCATGCTGGAAGAGCCACTGGCAAGCTTACAACTGAACATCCAGAGCAGCCCACTTCCTCTGATCACATTCCTGCTGGACACCCAGCCCCTGACTCGCATCTTCCCAACCTGATCCACCAGCTGGAGTGAGCCCTCCATGTCCCAGGACTCACTCATCACCTTGCCCACTGACTTCGCAGATGGGCCCTTGTAAACCCCCAGACCCTGTTCAGCCTCCCTGCTCCTGGAAGTCTTCATCTAAAAAGGAAAGACAATCCTGCCCTTTCTTGACACAGCTACGTCTGTGCTTGCTACTCAGCTTTTCAAAACAAAACTATCCATTGGGGATTTATTTTACAAGGTGTTAAAACTATACAGAAAAAAAGCAAAGAAATGATTAACACAAAAGTCAGGCTAGTGGCTTGCAATTGAGGAAGGGAACAGGTGCTGGTAACATCCTATTTCTTCACCTGGGTGATGGGAACATATTTATACCATAACATACGAAAGTAGATACTTTTCTGCAGGCGTGGGTACCTTTCCCCAGTTAAACATGCTAAGTTAAGATCCTTGTGAAGGAGCCAAGCCATTCCATCTGACACTCGCCCCATCAACTTCCGCAGTTGCATGAGTCAGATGGGCAGCTGGTATCACAGCTGGTGTTTAGACTCAGGTTTGCTAACAACTGTTATGCCCAAATGAGTAAATTTAACATGAGAAGCACCCGTGTTTCATGTCAGAGAGAGAGGACCACAAGCTTTGGAGACCGGTGGGCATAGATTCAAATTCTGGCTGGGCCACTTCTCAGTGGGTGACTTGGGCAGTTTCTGCATTGTTAAGGAAGAGTGTAACCACACTACACCGGTGGAAGGCAGTGGTGCAGCTTAAATGTAAAGGGCTAAGCACGGTGCCTGGTACACAGTAGACACTCCCTCAGTAAATAGTACCAATGGGTAGTTAGGGATTTAGTTCTTTAACTTGAACTTTGTTTCATTTCACAGCATTTTTTTAAGCCTTCAACCTGCAATCCATGACAGCCACCTCTTCATAGGATATTACAAGGTCAACTTATGAGACTATACAAGGCAGTCCTGGATTAGCGGGGGAAGGAGTTGGATAAACCGCAGGTACCACTCACATTAAATCAGAAGTTCAGCCACTGAAGGAAGGCCACCGAGTTAGAGAATCACAGAGAGCCAGAGCTCACAGGAGGCTCAGAGAGAGCTGGATTCTAAAACTGAAGTCTCAGGCAGCTCAGTTCCTTTGCAAACTCGTAATTCTCAGATTTCCTGTCTGCTGTCTTTCCACCTGCTCATCTCAGTGCCTATCCGCCATGTTTTTGTTGTCTACCTAGCCCTTTCATTAGCCTCATTTTAATGAGCTAATGGATTCTTTTCTCATTAAAACGAAGCCTTTCTTCTTTCCTAATATAGACATTTAAAGCTATAAATTTCCCTCTATGTTCTGTTTTAGCTGCAACCCATAAATTTTCATAAATCACATTCCTACTATAGTTTGGTTCTGAATATTTTCTGATTCCCATCTCCTTCGATCCCTGAGTTCTCCTACTTTCTTTTCCTCATTCATCCAAATACTTCCTTTAATCATGCCTGTCCCCTCCAGGGCCTAGAGTTCTAGGCCACCTTCTCTAAACCCCAGAGCATTCCACACTAGATCACACTGTTGGACACTTGATCAAAGGTAAAAAGCACATAATACTGTACATCAACTACACCTCAATTAAAAAAAAAAAGATGACAAGTGCAATCCTATAACCATGTGGGCTGATTCAATCCCAGCAACAGATCACAAAAAATACCAATTACACGTCTTCTGTAATTCCCACAAGGCCAGGCTCAAGGAGATGGTGCTTAGGGTACAACTGTAGGTTTCAGGTACACTAGTGAGAGAGGACCGCATCATGTCTACTCTATAAATACTTGGCCACCTTGAACCAGTTTTTTTTTTAATTTTTTATTTTTTTACTTTTATTGTGGGGGGAAGTAATTAGGTTTATTACTTATTTATTTAATGGAGGTGCTGGGGATTGAACCCAGGACCTCACGCATGCTAGGCATACACTCTACCGCTGAGCTATATACCCTTTGGACAGGCTTGTTCCATCAGCCTCAACTAGGCTTACCTAAACTCACTTGGACACCACATACATATTTTAAAAAAATAGATTAAAAAGAAAGGCTAGAAAGCCCCTAACCCAGATCATCTTATCACTCTCATGTTATTCTAATTCATTCATTCTTTCATTCATTCATTCATTCAATAATTCATGTATTTCTTTTTTTTAAATTTATTTATTACTTTCGGGTTTTTTTTTGAGGGGGAGGTAATTAGGCTTATTTATTTCTGTCTTAATGGAGGTACTGGGATTGAACCCACGAGCTGTGCGTGCTAAGCAGGCACTCCACCACTGAGCTACATCCTTCCTCTCTAACAATTCATGTATTTCATCAACAAGTATTTCTTGAGTACCTACTACGTATAATATAAGGTCTGAACACAATAAGCTCTAAGACACAGCCTGGCATGTAGTAAGTATCAAAATAGATTCTGGTTGAGTAAATGAATGAATAAATTAATGATGAATGAATAAGCCAAGGCACTAGGTCCAGCAGTGGCCCTCTCATTAACTACTGTAAGCTCATTCAAGCCCTTTTCTGGGCCTCGATTTCCTAATCCATAAAGTGGGGTATTAATGACTGTTCCACTTGCATCACAGGAGGACTGAGGTTCACTATTTGGGGGAAAATAAAACAAAGAGTTTCAGAAATACCCAAAAGATGCTCTTCTGTCCTTGTGGAATAGGATTTTCAGAGGCAATTATATCCCAACTCCAAATGTCTATGATCTAATGTAATTTCATATTAGAAATCCTATGCAGGCATTTAAACTATATTAGTACATAGCATGCTATAGTAATTATTAAATACAGATTTGATAAAATGAATTTTGATGACCTGTCGAGCTGTTAATTTAAAGCAGACAGCAATAAAAGTGCACAAGTACAGAATATCACTGAAAACAGAATTGACAGTAGCCAAAGGTAATGCTTATGAGTGTCTGCTATGTGGACACCATTGTGTTACACAGCTCACCTCACTGAATTCTCTCCAGAACCTTACTGATGTTTCACAGATGCAGAATCTGAGACAGGAGAGATTAAGGATGGAGAGCTTCCACAGAGAAGTCTGAAGTCACATGCCTTGAGCCTATGTTGTCCCGACTCCAGAACCCACGACGCTGGCCACGACACAACACTGCCTCTCATCAGAAGTGGTATGATACCAGAAATCCAGAGCAACTTCTCCCTGCCTGGCTACCTTTAAAGGGGGAGCACCACGACTCACGTCTCCCCGTAGGGCTGACTTCAAGAATTAGTCTTGGCAACTAAGCACCGTTTTCCTGTGAATTCTGATTAGCCAAGAGGGACGCGCCTTACCCGCTGGGATGACGTGAAGATAGGCAGCCGGATTTCATCACTTTCGTACTGGCTGATGAAACCCCGCTCTTGCGTCCGGTCGAGCACACCCTCCACGTGGGTGTAGAGTCTCCTGACGATGGCTGGCCGGTGCCTCTGAAGGTCACGGGCTGGGTGGGGTGAGTGGGGGTCCCAGCAGCCAGAAAGCTCGGGGGGTTGGCTGTCAGCCTGGGCCTTTTGCACAGCTGTGATGAGTTGTTCACAGCCCCAAGCACCCTTATTCCAGACAGTGTCCAGGAGGCGCCTGGCCAAGTGGGAGAGGGGCTGGCCCAGGAGGCTGAACCCCTCATAGTCCTCCCAGGAGAGAACTTCCCAGGAAAGCAGCCAGTCCAGGATGCTCTCGAAGCCCTCCAGGGACCCCGAGACCAGCAGCTCCACCAGCTGGCTCCTTTGGGCCTGGAAAGCCTCATGAGAGCACATTTCACAATCTGGGGAGGAGAATGAGGTCAATACAGGAAGGACTTCTCAGGAAGCAGGTGGGGGGCAGGGAAGAGGGCAAGTCAGCTCCCCAACCCCAAGTCCAAGCCAGCCCTGGTTCTACCCTGAGACATCACCAATCCAAGCTGCCCACTGTACAGATGTACAGACTGAGGACCAGAGAAGGCAAAAAACTAGCTCAAGGTCTTGCAGAGGGTTTGAAGCAGTCAGGAGTTAAATCAAGGCCCCTGGCTCACACATCTAGGCTTCAACCCTTGTTTAAGAAGTTTAAAAAGGCTTGAGCTAATATTAGGAACAATGTCTCCCAAAGGACCAGAGAATCTATCCTCTTTGAGGCCGTATGGCCCGTAGCGCCTCTGGCCCTTCCATGCTGGTTGAACTCAGGCTATGGCAGCTCTCTCTTCAATAATAGCTAATACATACTATCCACATGCTATGTGCCAGGCCCCATTCTAAGTGCTTTCACATGTGACTTCATTGACCCCTCCCAACCACTCTGAAGTAGGTACTGGGAGAAGTCCCATTTTACAGATGAAGAAACTGAGGCACAGAGAGGCTAAGTGGCTTGGACAAAGACAAGGGTTCAAAGCTAGATGAGGTAGAGCTAGGCTTTGAACCCAAGCAGTGCAACTCCAGAATGCATGCCTTTAATTCCCTTCTATTTGGGTGCCCCACAGGAGCCCGAGCCCATGACTCTGTAGGTAACCCACCACTACCCCACGGGGCAGACCCAGAACACTGCTATAAAGATCTCCCCCAGGTGAAGCAAAACTCATGGTACAAACTAAGTCACTTCAAAGCTTATGGGTGCACTGATCCCAGTTCACTGCCCCTTCCCAAAGGCCCAAGCCGTCATATCCCCCCGCAACTCACCAGTCACCACTGCACACTATGTGTTGTCACCTCTGTCAGGGGCTTACTCTGGGCTCAGCCGTCAGACTCAGGGTTCTGGAGATTTGCAGGAGGCGATCTCACGGAGCTTCCAGCCCTGGGAGTGTCCCCATGAGGCAGAGAAAATCTCAGCAAGGTCTATTCTGCGACTGTCACGGAGTCCAGGGATGTGGGCTGGTGTAGTGCCCACAGAAAATGAAAGCGAAAGGACGTAGGCATGGAAAGAAGAGGAATGCCAGCTTCTTTCTACAAAACAGGGACATTCCAAGGTACTCAAGGGAGCAGACGCCAAGGAGCCTGGAGCGACTGCATCTTTCTTATTGGTTGTTTATGTGTCTAACTCCTTTCCTGGCCCAAGTTGAAACCTGGGTCTTACTCATCCTGGCACCGCTAAGCTTGGCACAGGGCTGGGCCAAGGGGAGGCTCGGAGGGAATGTTCATGAATCAGAACATCTACTGCAGGAGGGGAGGGGCTGGAACATTCTGTGCCTGTCCTCGCGTGCCAGCCAAAGTAAGGGAAAGGAGCAGTCCCCAGCTCAGAATGCTGCCAACACTTAGGTTGGAAGCCTTGTGCTGGCCAGAGGAGGAAACCAAGGCAATGAGGTGACCCGTGGGTCTGGCCACTTGGGAAGGAGGGCATCCCTGATGCAGAGGCCACCATAAACCTAGGAAGCGACATAATTCTCTCTGGCCAAGCAGGCCTCCTCCCTGTGTCCACTGCTAAGCAAAGGAGTCAAGAGGGTAGAGGTGGGGAGAGGGGAGAGGAGAGAACGGGGGGAGGGGGTAGGAGGAGCTCTGGGCTTGACCCTGGAGTGGTCCTCAGCTGTGGAAATGCCAGCCCCATCACCCCCCGTTCCCAGGTCCTAGGGAAAAGAACCACCCACCCCTCCGGAAATAGCCCAGAATTTGGGTCAGAGCTCTCTCTCTGACCCAATGCCTGCAGGGCATGTGTACAGCCAGGAATGAAAGACATTGAAGAGTTAAGATGAGATAGGACAACACCTGCCCCTCTCACCCAGAGGATGCCTGAGGATGGACAGCTGCTCTCTCCTCCACAATGGGAGAACCTGGACCACCCTGTCCCCCATCGAAGATCATGAGGCTTGGGGAAGCAGGCATGGCCAAGTCATTTGCAGGCAGGCCTTGAGCAGGAAGGTAAGGCTGCGTGGCACAGGACTGGAAGGTCTAGATTGGCCCACAGACCCTACCTCCCTCCTGGGGAAACCCCAAGACGATGGACACACCCACAGATGTGCTCGCCCACAAGGGGACAAGCTACAAGGAAGCAGGGGCGCTTCCCAAACACACTGAGTCTAGGTCAGCCAAATGGCTTGAACCACACATGTCCAGCTAGTGATGTCAGGGAAACGGTAGAAAGAGGCAGGCCCAAGCCATAAGGTTTGGCACTCTATCCTCCCTGTAGCTGGAAAGTCCCATCTCCGTCCTGGCCTTCTTCCAGAAACCTCGGAGCCAGGAGAATCTCCAAGAACCAATTTGGCCAGCACCCTGTCTCTAAGAAGGCATTGTCTTTTCTCATCTAGCAGGGAGGACCTGGCCTTGTTGCTGTCCCCACTAGCCAGTTCAGGAAGTTCCTCATTATGTCTAACTGAAGTTTTTCCTGCTTCTGTTTCCACTGGGAATGAGAGAAAACAGATGTCCACTCATCACTTATTTCATAAACACTGTCCCTAAAATCCTGCCTTTTGCCACTTTATTCCCTGCTCAGACTTCCCCTCTTCAGATGAAATAAATCAGCCTCTCTCCACTGCCTTTTCTTCTCTACTTCAATCACTGCCACTTTGGAGTCATTATCGTCTTTCCTCCAGGAAGGTGAGGTCTGTACAAAGAAAGGGGCACTTCCTTGCGGAAACAGAGGGTCAAGTGGAAGGGGCACCCCACACGGGCCCTCTTTTATCCCCAAGCCAAGTCCTGACACCTCTTTCCTCCTGAGACACAGCCAACCCAGTTCTCTGGAATCCTGAGTCCATGGATTTGCTTAAGTGTTGCAGTCTCAGCCTGAGGCAGCTGCAGACAGGAGAGGGAGGGAAGCCCTGAAGCACAACTTCTGGAATCTCTGGGCTCTCAGCTGGGGCCACTCTCCCCTGGGGCACTGGACCCATCCGCCTCACTTTCAGCAGCCAGCCTCCATTGTAGTCCTCTTCACCCAGCTTCTTTCTGGGAGAGCAGTTCTCACCAACATACAGACATACTGGAATTTCTCCATCCAACCCCATTTCTCTGTCCATCTTCACAGCAGCTTTTCTTGTCTGTTGTCTGTACTGCTGCCCTCAAGTCCTCCTCTCCTATTCCCTCCAACCGTGTCCCCCTTGACTCCAGCTGCTTTTGTAGTTGTCACCAGTGACCTCCAGGTTGCTGGATTCTCAGTCCTCATCTCCCTGGCTCAGGGCACTGGGAGAAAGAGGCAGACTCAAACCATCTGTTAATCACTCCCTCTCTCCTCCTTGAAGCCCCTCCCTGACTGCCATCCAGAAAACGCCAACTCTCTGATTTTTCCTCCCATCTCACTGGCTGCTCTTTTCTGTCTCCTTGGCTGGTTCCCAATGCTGAGAGCTCAGAACTCCCTGGTGGGATCTCTTTTCTCTGCATCACTCTCTCCCTAAGTGAGCTTACCTGCTCTTATGGCTTTAAATACCAGCTATAAGGTGATGATGCCCCAAATTTTATTTCCAGTTCCAACCTCCCCACTAAACTTTTCCAACTGCCTAATGGTCATCAAAACCAAACTCCAGATCTTCCCCCTAAACAGCTCCAATCTCAGCTGATGTCTGCTCTACAGGCCAAAAAATCTCTGGGTCATCTTTGACTCCACCTTTCTCTCACATCCCAAATCCTATCTCCCCTACCTTGAAAATACATCCCAAATCCTATCTCCCCTACCTTGAAAATACATCCCAAATCTGAAAATCTCATATTTTTTCACCACCTCTGTGCCATGGGTATAAAGCCTCATGGTCTTTCCTCAGAATGACAACTGTGATCCCCTCACTGGTTCCCCCACCCTTCTGCCCTCACCTCCCTAAAGTCTATCTCTTGCCCACAGCCAGATAAACCTGCTAACATCTAGGTCAGAGCAGGTGATGCCTCCGCTCAAAGCCCTCCAGTGGCTCCCACTAAACTCAGTGAACACTAAAGCCCTCCCAGTGGCCTTCAAGACTGCATGCAGTGGATCCCCAACTCTCCACCCCTTACCTCTCTGTGCTCCTTTCCTACTAATCCTCGCCCACCCTGCCCCAGCCACACTGGCCTTGTTTCTAGGACAAGCCAGACCTGCTCGCACCTGTCATGCTTCTGACCCAGGGCCTCTGCACACACTCTTCTCTCTGTGGGCGCACTGTCTGCTCCCTCAGATATTCACATAGCTCCCCCCTCACCTCCTTCAAGGCTTTGCTCCACTGTCATGATCTCAAAGAGGCCCTCCCTGACTATGCTTTATAAAATCACAATACCCAGCCCAACACTTCATCCTCCTTGCCTGCTTCATTTTTGTCCATAGTACTTCTCAACACCTGACACACTGCGTATTTACGAATTGGACTGGTGTTCAACTCCTTTCTAGAATACAAACCCCATGAGGGCAAGGAATTTTTTTCTGATTTTTTCATTACTATATCCCCAGTGTCTCATCCAGTGCACTGATAAAGACTGTGTGGGTGAATAAAAGCATGAATTCACTTTGCATGGTTCCAGAGGCAGAAGTGCAGGGAGAGGTAGAATCTGCAAGCCACAGATTTTAGCTAATTGAAGCCAGAGCAGCAGGACACTGAACTGTGCCTCAGAAGTAATGAGCCCCCCGTCACTGAGCTTATGCAGCAGAGGGATCCTGCACTGAGTGGGGGCATCAGTGGGCTAGATGGGGTCCCTTCCCGCCTGAGATCCCAGTGTGCAGATTGGCCAAGGGGATCTGAGTAACCAACAAACTTAGCGGCAGAGTGATTGGGACAGGAGAGCAGAAGCAACAGGAATGACACTCTGGTTTTTACAGAGGGGTCAGGGGATTGGTGACATGGTGAGCTTCTCCGCTCTACGGGACAAGGAACCTGTGGCCAGGGAACAGCCCATGGGGAGATGGAGGCCACCGCAGAGAATGGCCTAAGAGCTCAGAAAGAGGGAGAGAAGCAAGAGGAGACTCAGAGCCAAGGGTCCAGCTGTGAGAGGCCCTCCTGGAGAGGATGGGAAGGCCTTTTAGTTTGTTGCAAAGCAAGTAGGACCAGATGGCTATTCCTCAATGTGAAGAGCAAAGGAGAGGATGAAGGCACAGAGGGTGAGATGCTGGCAGGCTGTGGTGTGGGCCTGCCTGGGCAGGGATGGGGGCTGAGCCAGGGTCTCCACACCCACCAAGGGAGGGAAGAGGAGGAGGCAGGAGACTCCCAGGAGAGTTACCAGACCACAGGTAGGGTTAGAGAGCAAACCGGCACTCTGGCACTCCCACTTACAACCACCCATTCACAGGCAAGGTAAATGTGGGGAAACTGAGGGAGAGAGGAGGGACTGGACAGAGTAGACCCTGCTCAGACCTGAAGCCTGGCTTCATTCCCGCCCGGAACCTCAGGACTTCTCATCCTGCACGTTCCGCCCACCCCCATCCGCCTCCACCCCCAAATCACAGCCTCTCTCCAGACCTTAGAGGCTCCTGAGGCCGAAGTTCTCTCCACGTCCCCAAGCTCCTCATCTTCTGTAACTACAGCCCGGCAGGAGGCTCCCCAATCTCAAAACGCCCCCTTTCCTTCCACCTTCCATCTAGACCCGGGGACTCCCAAAGAGAAAACTGAGGCAGCCCCTCCCTAAGCCTGGCGGCCTGGACGGCTCAGAAGCCAGGTGTCCCAGTGCCGGAGGCGGACCCCTCGGCGCCTGCCGTCTGCCCGCCGCCCCAGCGCTGGGCTCGGGAGCACTCACCCCCCGCACACTGACTCCTCCGCACGCGCCGTGGGAGCTGCGACTCCCGGACTCGGCTCCCGCCCGGGATGCAATGGGAGCTCGGCCCCGCCCCGGCCTGGCCACGCCCCTTCCCCTAGACCCCGCCCCTTCCCCTAGACCCCGCCCCTCGGGCTGCAGATCGTTCTCAGCGGAGCGCTGAGGAGGGGCCGGGCGCACTGCAGGGCTGGACGACCTGTGCTATGTGGCCTGGGACAGATGTGTCCCCTTCCTGAGCCACCTTTCAACCGGAGGGAAGGGAATGGAAGAGTCTCTCAGGACAAGTCCCTTTCCCAACACAGACACACACACACACACACACACACACACACACACACACACACACACACACACACGAGGAGACTAACCTAACGAAGTAGGAAAGACTAAGGAAAGCGTTGGTTAGGGAACTAAGTTAACTTAAACCACGCACCGTCGTGGAGGTCAAGTACTCCATAGTCATACTAACGT